ATGAATAATGAAATTCCGGGGATGAGATTTCACATTAGTCCCTTAATGTGTACTTAATTCAAATTCATCTTATATTTTTTTAATATTTAATATATATTTTTAACCAACGATATTATCTACACTAAGAGGGTGGGGGAGAGGCTAGCCTCACAATGGACTAGCAATAATGTGGTTCAAATTCTCCTTTAGCGAGAATCGAACCTAAAATCTTTCACTTAAAAGTGAAGAAGAATACCATTAGACCGTAGTACTATATGACAGTATTTAATGTATTTAAATTTGTTATTATACACATTTTAATTCATTAATTTTATTGAACTTCCTCTAATTAATATATTTTACTAAATTAGTGTACCGAAATGTTCATACCTAAATATATTGTAGTGAATTAGTGTCACATAAGAAAATATGCAAAAACATTAGTGTACCGAAAATTTGATATGATACTAAACTAATGTACCGAAATATATGTACCAAAATATATTATACTAAACTAGTGTACTAAAATGTCTGTACCTAAACATATTATACTAACTTATTGTACCAAAATGTTCGTACCTAAATATATCACTGTTCTAAAAACAACAAGATAATAATCAAGCGTATAATGCACAACAAAAAAACTTAATACTACTGAAAATTTAAAAATAACAAAACTGAGGAATTAAGCAAGCATGATTGGGCTACCTCGTTGCTCTAGGGAAAATAAATTAGTTCCGAAACATAATTGAAGTTGTCACTAAATGTATAATAAAATTAAGAAAACTAAGTTCAGGAAAAAAAAGATGCATAATAAACTTAAGAAAACTAAGTTCAGGAAAAGCCTGAGTCCTTCTTCAGGACCAGTTGTCTCTTCTTTTCCCTCTTCTGTTTCCATTTTCTTCTCCCTAACTGACAAGTGACAACGGCTTAAAGTTCATTTATTGACAACATTAGAAGATAAAAAACAGAAAAGCTCTTCAATTATATGCTCGCCACTTTGTACATTAATTATAGAGAAATTTTGGATGCGGTCTCTAATCCTTAACATTCTTTGACTAAAACCTTAATGATATTCAAAGTTTGATCAAAGTTCCTTGACTTTGTACACCTCATTATATTACAATTAATATTTATATTTTTATAGTTTTGACATTAATTGTTTGATATTTTATGAGATTTATAATCCTATAAATTTAAAATCTCTCATTATAATGCCATTAGAAACGGTTACAATAAAAAATTCAAACATTTTGATTGAAGAAATGGATAAAAACTATGTAAAAATAAGAAATAATAAATGGCAAAAGAATGTATCCATAGTGTTAAAAAAAATTGGTAGATTTCACATATAACAAAGTGGTACATTAATAAAGAAGAATGGATACATTATAAATAAATTAGGGTACAGATAAAAGATTAAAAAATTATGAGAACAAATGAATTTTTTAAAAATATAGGCACTAAACGAAATTAATACATGGGTACAAAATAAAACTAAAAAGAAAATACTACAAATTAAAAAAAAATGTTGCAAATTAAAAGTGGGCGCAAACTAAAAATATAAATATATGATACAAAGTTTAGGAATAAAACATAAATATACCATATGTAATTTTTCTATCATTGATTAAATATACAATGTCACGTGACGGTATACACATGGGTACAAACACAAATAAAACTTTAAAAAATATGGGCACAAAAAGAAACTAATATATGGGTACAAATTAAAAATGAAAAAAAAAATTGGTACAAATTAAAAATAGGTACAAATTAAAAATAAAAATATATGATAAAAAATTTAGCCATAAATATAAATATACTAATTGTAACATTTTTAACACTAAAGGAATATATTTAAAAATAAAAATATTTTATTATTCAAATAATTAATGATGTTATTAATATCCAATGACCTTGATCAAAAATTGAAAATAAATAGAATTTTAATCAATGGAGTAGCAAAAAGAATGATATGAACCTAATTTCTCCTTAATTATATCTTGATTAATTTATCGATTTGACAATGTCTTCTCTTGTGGCTTTGGTCTACTTGCTGCTGATTACCGCAATGTTGCCTTCTTTAATTATTCGCTGCTCTCCTTCTCTCTGCCTGTGATTGCCTTCCCTTTCTTTCTACTTTTCCCATGCAAATGAACTGTCATTTGGATGCATGCCGCTCTAGCTATATTAGTGGATCTCTCATCTATATATTAGGAGACTGCCGATAAAGCACCTTGGCTTGAACCATAATACAATGCCACCTTAACCTAAACTAGATAGGAAGCTATGAAGATTCTAATAACATAAAACTATGTCCAGTCCTATCCTATGGAACAAAGTATCACGTGGTGCAAACAATGCAAACCTAAACATACATACATACATACATACATATATATATATAATATATATATATATATAAAATACATACATACATATATATATATATATATATAAACTAATGTAATATAAAAACAATTCAAAATACATACATATATATATATATATATATATATATATATATAAACTAATGTAATATAAAAACAATTCAAAATAGCTCTTGCAGAATAATAATACTAAATCGTATTTTCTAAATACGAAATCTTACCATTATAATGGAATTGTTATATAATATCTAATATTGTGATATTATATTTTTAAAGCACAACTCCAACAATCATTACTGCCACTACCCTCACCACTGCTGCAACCCTCTCCTCTAGTATCGCTGTCATCTTTACCACTACCACCTCCCACTACCATTGCCGTCATTATCACTACTACCACCATTGCCACTATCTCCATGTCATCACCTCTGCCACCATGGCTAGCACAACCTCTACCATCTTCGCCGTCATCACCGTCACCACCTCTCAATCAACATCACCTATACGGCCCCTCTTTAGCATTGTTACCACAACCACCTTCTGCCACTATCGTCGGCCGTCACCACCATTCCTACTACCAGCCTCCCATTGCCCTTTTTCCACTCCACTATTGTCACTATCCAATGGGCGTGTCCTCATCACTAATACCACTGACCTAACCACCATTGCTTCCAACACAACTCTTGCCATAACAACCATCTCCAGCAACACTACCATTATTTTATACATTACAAGATATTACTATCAAACACAAAATTATTGGCTTTTGACATTATCTATGTATCTGTTGACCCTAAAAACTACAAAGTCTATGTGGCACGCAGATCGAGTAATTAATAAGCTAACTACGTCCTTCGGTTGTGTGCGGGGCGTGCCAACTCGATGGCCGAGCTCGGCCAGTGAGTAAAATGAGTTGATGTTGCGTTGAGCGCGCGGCTGAGATCTCGATCTTGCGACTGCGACCGAGGAAGGAACACTCTCGGCCTTCGGGTTCTAAAACCTGAAGATAAGGCTGCTAGTTCTGCGAAGTTCACAAACTGTCGACGCCGGATTCGATCATAGTGATTATATTTGTAAAAGTATAAGCACGCTGAATCAACACCAGAGTATAGGGGCACAGATACTCAAAACAGATATATGTCTTGATGGTGAACGTGGTTCGGCCGTCAGAATGGCGAACTCTAAAGTCTACTTGTGAGTATCCAATCATAAAACAACTCGGCATTCAATGTGCCAAGCCCTAGTAAACTGTAACACCTCACTTTGCCGAGAAGACTGATGAGATGACCTCTGCCAATAAGGATTTGAAAATCCTTCTCGATCGATACTTGGATAGATAACCAGTCGGCCTCGACGCAGTACTGTTTATCCAAACTAAAGGTGCTCCACGGTTGGCTGATTCTACGGCAACAGTGTTGTTTATCCAAACTGAAGATGTTCGCCGGTTGCCTTTACAGTGCTGTTTATCCAAATTGAAGATGTGTTGGCGAAAAAGAAAATAAAAATCTCAAGGTGTTTGAGAGGTTTCATGTAGAGCGAGGGTTTGCGCATGGCAGTTTGTGTGTTGAGTTGGAGGTGGCCCTTCCGTTGCACAGCGCCTCTGTATTTATAGGGATGTATCTTTTGCTTGGCATGGCCAGATAATTTTGTAGAGTTCTACTGCAACTCTAATTCGTGGAATTGAAATTGATCCACATCAGAAACCAAGGCATATCCTTCAAACTGAGCCGTGGGATTTGTTCCAAGACTTTTCAAACCTAATAAAAGTTAGGCCTATCACATCTCATAAGAAGCCTAGCCCACCTAGGCTTCTTATCATCAAAACTCCAACAGTAGCTTTTAAACCCATCTGACATCACCTTGCAAAAATGCCTAGTCTACCTAGATTCCTTATCCCATCATTATCCAAGACCATAATTTTAAGATCATCAAATCCCATATGCTGATCTCCACTCCAAGCTATTTCAATCTATCTACATGTCCACTGCCAAACATCCAAATCAATTTGAACCACACTACTTGCTTCATTATCTGACGCCGTGCATATCCCAATATCCCACCATCATTTTAATTGGGATTTAGACAAATATTAGGTTTAAATAATTTAATATATTACTAAAAGATAATATAATGATTAAAATCACAATATTATTTCTCAATAATAAATCATTTCAACTATTTTGTCATTCAGTGTGCAGTTATGGTGTTTGTTAAAATGTCTCGGTGAAATTCCATCACAGATTATATATGTTTTCATAGTTTTTAAGATTTGAAAATAGTTGCTTAAGTTCTGTACAAAGCAAGTTTTTTTAGTGTAATAATTGTATATGAAAACTTGTTCATCTCGACTTTTACTTTGCAAGTGTGGTATAACCTTTTTTTTGCTTTACTATGCAGATTTCTCCAAAAGCAAAAGAAAACCAAAAGATTTGCATACTGCTCTGTTTTTCTTCAAGCCTTGTCTTGATCATGAGCTAAGGTATGACCTATTGTTTCATTTTTTCTTAATTTTCATCTGCTTTCAAAATAAAGGATTCCTTTCTTGTATCTTGAATTTATTTATTTATTTTGGATTCTTATATATTCTACAGATCGGAGAAGCAGACTAATTGGTAAGCTGAAGGTTCCATGGCGATGGAGATACTCACTGCAATTATTCCTACAATAATTGACTACACAGTTATACCAGTTGCACGCCAAGTGGGTTATATCATTTCCTACAAAAACAACCTTGAAGGTCTAAGGAGTAAATTGGAGGATTTTGATGCTGTCAAACAAAGGATGAACCATGCGGTTGAAGAAGTCGAAAGAAAAGTTAATCAAAAAGTGGAAGCTGATGTCCGGAACTGGCAGACAGAAGCGGATAAGATCTCTCGAGAGGCAGAAGCAGTATTGGTTCATGAAGGCTGTGCAAAGACAAAGTGTCTCTATATATGTCCCAATCTGATATACTATCATCAGAGTAGCAGGAAGTCAACAGAACTAATGGCAAAGATTGAAGCACATGAAAATAAAAAAGAAAAGTTTAGCAGGCTTTATTACGATGCTCCCGTAGAAGACATATCTGGCACACCCTCAGACGGGTACATGGCCTTTGAATCAAGGATTTCAATGGTGAAGAATATCATTACGGAACTGAAAAAACCTAATATCAACAGGATTGGGGTGTACGGATTAGGGGGCGTTGGGACAACACTTGCCAAAGACGTTTACACAGAAGCTGTCAAAGAGAAGTTATTTGATGATGTGGTTATAATTCTAAATGTAAAAGAAAAGGAAGACAACATAACAATTCAAAAGGAAATTACCAAAAAGTTGAGGATGTACGTTGATGAATCTGAGGACATGGGAACAAGGGCGAGTCTCCTACAAGCCAGGATAAAAGAGGGGAAAACTCTTGTCATTTTAGACGATGTTTTGAAAGAAATTAACTTTGAGGCTGTGGGACTTGTCGGTGTGCCGAACTGTAAATTATTGTTGACTTCCAGAGAAAGAAAAGTTTTATACTCTGATATGCGTACGCAGAAAGAATTTCCACTTGGATTTTTAACCGAAGAAGAAAGTTGGAGTTTGTTTGAGAATGTGGCAGATAACGTCGTTAAAGACAACCGTATACTGAAAGAAGCAACCCAACTAGCAAAGAAATGTGGAGGTTTGCCGGTTTTGGTTGTTGCAGTTGCAAGTGCTTTAAAGGATAGTAGATTGCAGGAATGGAAAGATGCGTTGAAAAGCTTCAAAAGATTTGCCGAGGAAGAATTGGATGAAAAAGCATTCTTGGCTCTGAAGTGGAGTTACCAACGATTGGAAGATCAAGAGCTTCGGCAATTGTTCTTGCTTTGCGGAATTCTTGCAACTGGGGGTAGCACCATTTATGTCTTTTACTTGTTGCACTGTGCTACAGAGAACGCGGTTAAAGACAGATGGAAAGGTTATTTTCATAATCTTTTCAATGAAGGATATGAAAGGAGTGCTTCTTTAGGGGAGTTGAGTAACTCAGAAGAGTGTAGAAACTACTCTTTTTATCGTAGAATCCGGAAGGAAGAAGTGGTTGTAGCTTTGAAGAAGATGAAGCATAAAAAAGCAGTAGGCCCAGACGATATACCAATCGAAGTGTGGAAAGTTTGGGAGAGACAGGTATAACATGGCTCACTGACCTTTTCAATAGGATTTTGAAAACGAAGAAGATGCCAAATGAGTGTCGAACGAGCACTTTGGTGCCTATCTACAAGAATAAGGGCGATGTACAAAATTGCATGAACTATAGGGGTATTAAGCTAATGAGTCATACAATGAAGCTCTGGGAGAGAGTCATTGAGCATAGATTGAGGCAAGAGACACAGATTTCAGACAACCAATTCGGGTTCATGCCAGGGCGCTCAACCATGGAGGCAATCTATCTCTTACGAAGATTGATGGAAAGATATATAGAGATGGGAAAAAGGATTTACACATGGTCTTTATAGATTTGGAAAAAGCGTATGATAGGGTCCCAAGAGACATTCTTTGGAGGATTTTAGAGAAGAAAGGAGTACGAGTAGCATATATCCAAGCTATACAGGATATGTATGAAGGAGCAAAGACTGCCGTAAGAACTTCATGAAGGACAAACCGAAAGCTTCCCCATAACTGTAGAATTACATCAAGGCTCATCCTTAAGTCCTTACCTTTTTGCGTTGGTAATGGATGAGTTAACAAAGACATATTCAAGATGATATTTCCTTGGTGTATGCTTTTCGCAGACGATATAGTGTTGATAGATGAAACTCAGGAAGGGGTAAATGCAAAGCTTAACCTTTGGAGAGAAGTGTTGGAATCTAAAGGTCTTCGCCTAAGCCGATCAAAGACAGAATATATGGAGTGCAAGTTCAGTGCAAATGGAGGCCAAAAAACGAGTTAGGGGTGAGGATCGGAGATCAAGAATACCAAAGAGCGACCGTTTTCGTTACCTAGGATCTATCTTGCAAAAGAACGGAGAATTAGATGGAGATCTCAACCATAGAATACAAGCTGGATGGATGAAGTGGAAAGAGTGCATCCGGCGTATTGTGTGACCGCCGTATGCCACTGAAGCTCAAGGGAAAATTTTATAGGACGGCAATAAGGCCGGCGATGCTGTGTATGGCACAGAATGTTGGGCGGTGAAGCATCAACACGTACACAAAATGGGTGTAGCGGAGATGAGGATGCTTCGTTGGAATGTGTGGGCACACGAGAAAGGATAAGATTAGGAATGAGGATATCCGGGGTAAAGTAGGAGTAGTCGAAATTGAAGGAAAGATGAGAGAAAATCGGTTACGGTGGTTTGGACATGTGCAAAGAAGGCCCTACTGACGCTCCGATTAGAAGATGCGACTATGGACAGAGGTTCAGGGCCGAAGGGGTAGAGGAAGACCTAGGAAAACTTTGGAAGAGACCCTAAGAAAAAGACTTAGAAGTACTTGGATCTAACAGAGGACATGACACAGGACAGAACACAATGGCGTTCTAGATAGCCATACTCAAAGATTGCTTCTCCAACCGACGGAAATTAAAGGAACACTACCTCAACCTAATATGCTTTACCTAGGATTATCAACACAAAAGAAAATTCAAAACTTAGCGAGAAGGCTTTGGTGTATTTAACACAATACGTTTTGAAATGAAAGATCCCCGATAAGTTACAAAATGTACATATACTTGAGTCAAAATAAAAAACAACCAGTTCTCAGCAGAATAACAAGTGGATGGAATGAAGTGGAAGAGTGCATTCCGGCGTTATTGTGGTGACCGCCCGTATGCCACTGAAGCTCAAGGGAAATTTATAGGACGGCAATAGGCCGGCGATGCTGGTAGTGGCACAGAATTGGTTGGGCGGTGAAGCATCAACACGTACACAAAAGGTTGATAGCGGAGATGAGGGATGCTTCGTTGGATGTGTGGGCACACGAGAAAGGATAAGATTAGATGGTATATCGGGGTTAAAGTAGGAGTAGTCGAAATTGAAGGAAAGACTGAGAAAGAAAACGGTTACGGTGTTTGGACATGTGCAAAGAAGGGTTTCTTGACGCTCCGATTAGAAATGCGGACCTACTGGACAGAGTTCAGGGCCCGAAGGGGTTAGGAACAAGACTGGAACTTTGGAAGAGACCCTTGCAAAGATTAGATACTTGATTCAGGACATGGCCTGACAGAAACGATTTCTTCTAAGATTCATATGGAACACTCAGTGATTGATTTTTCGGTCTGAGGAATTTCTCACTCGGGAAATTAAAGGAACCACTACCTCAACCTAGTTCCTTCCATTAAAGCTTCAACATACAAGCTTCAACAAAAGAAATTCAAAGGACTTGTAGCGAGGGCTTTGGTGTATTTTTTTAACAACATACGTTGAGATGGGAAGCTTTTTATTGTGATCCCCTAAGTTACAAATATGTACATATACTTGAGAGTTGAATAAACAAGAAAGGAGCTTAGGTGCTTAGGAGATAGTCTTCTACAGTCGGTAGAGCCCGAAAGGAAGGGGGAAGCACCGGATGGGGAAGATTGGATAGCTTCAGTACTGACAGTCAAGAAGGGAATAGGGTTGATCTTGAGCTTCAATCGTCAATATAAAAGGTGGGCCTTTGGACAAAAAAATTCTGAAAAGTTTGCTGAAATTAGAGTTATTCATCTGGAAAGCTTCTCTCTGTTTGTACATATCATGTGCGAGCCGGTCAACTGTTATTCTTGCTTGAGCCCTCTAATCTCCTTTTTGAGACTCTCACTTAGCCTCAGATGATCCAATTGGCGGTTAAATATTTGGGATTATTAGACCAAACCTGCCATTGAACACTTAAGCCAGAGAATCTTAAAGCCAACTCATCAGGTTTGAAAGGGTCTGTTACTTTGGAGTAGAAGTTCCTGGCCACTACCCAGCCCATATCATTCTATTCACGGAATCCCCTTCGTAAGAAAAGTGGGGAGAGAGGATGGGCCCATATGAGGTCTGCGAGAAAGGTGGGCTCCTCTTCTCAAGGTTCCGTCAAACGCGGTATTGGGGCCAGACAGTTTCGGTATGCAAAAGAGGCGCGACAAATCGCTAGAAGTGCAAAAATTCGTACCGGAATTAAGGTGCAGGATTAAATTGGCTATAAAAGACGATAATCAGAAATGGAAGGCGCCGCCAGAAAGAAGAGCGTTTGCTTTTAAACTTTCTGCTCAGGAGCCTTAGGTCTCTCAGAAATCGAAGAATTCTCTCAGAGCTGGGTGGCTCAAAACCACGAAGGGGCGACTCAGAATTGAAGAGGCTTGCTTTCTCAAAAGCTGGCTGCTCAGAGACCAGAGCTGCCATTCTCGAAGATCGAAGAGGACCTATTTTCAGCCCTGTCAGCAGCCGTCAACCGCACAACTCAGCTTTGCTGGAAATTATGGGCATTTCAGATTTTGCGGAAGTGCGCACATTAATCGGTTGTCAATCACCCACTTCCCACCAGCAACAATAGCCATGCTACCACAGTATAACTTTGCCAAAGTTCTCTGACAAGTTGAGGCACGTGAAGCTTGCACACCACATTGCTCGAGGAAGAAGGGTAAAAAGATTAGCAAAGAAAAAACACTAACGTTTTAACCATAAATTTCGAAAGGTCTACTACCATATTTTTACCCACCAAGTGTAAAGAACAGTACCCTGCCATAATTGAAGTCCGGTGTTCAACCTTCTGTGCTTTGCAAGGTAGATAGCAAACATGCCAACCTTTACTCACATTCGAGAAAACACTTCCCCAACAAGAGTTGCTTTGCTCCAAAAACGAAGAGCACCGCCCTTCCGGAATCTCGAGAGCCAGACTCCCAACATGATTGACTTTCTCAAAAAATCGAAGAGAGGGTAGAAAAGAAACAGTACCAACGGCTGATAATCGGAAAGTCTGTGTGTCAACCTCTGTGCTTCGTGGCAAGGTAGAAGCTAGCAAACTGGCCCAACCTTTACTCACATTCGAGAAAACACTCCCAACCAGATGCTTGCTCCAAAAATCCGGAATGAGGCACCGCCCTCCGAAATCTCAGAGCCCAGACTTCCTAACATGATTACTTTTCTCAAAAATTCGAAAGAGGAGGGTAAAGGAACAGTAAACTGCGGAGATTGGAAAAGTCCGTCATCACCTCTGTGCTTCGTGCAAGTGACTTAGCAACAAAAAACTTATTCACTTCGAGAAAAACACTTCCAACAAATTGAATTCCCGCAAATACCGCCCTCGAATCCAAGAGCCAACTCCCAAATGATTACTTTTCTCAAAAATAGACAGCTCACGAACTCAGAGGCAACAATGTGCTTTCAATCAAGAGGGTTCTCGAATCCGAGGAACCCCCAGTAGGATTGCTTTCTGGAAAATGAAGAGGGCATCCTGCGATCTCGCCGGATCCGCCGACAGGATTGCTTTGCTTCGTTCAAAGGCACCCCACTTTACAACGTCAAGAGGGTCTCCTGGGATGAGCTTGTCTGTATATTCTTCCAACGCAACATCAGCTTTCCAGATACCACAAGCCACTTGTTCAAAGTGCTTAACAGGTTAAATGTGAAGCTGGCAGCTCCCACTACCGTGCTGAGAACCAAGCAGGTAAAGAGGAATAGCATTATACTGATGTTAGGGAGACTCCTATTATATGGTCGACCTCCATCCAACACAGGCAGACCTGGCAAAAATGCTCAACCCTTCCTCTTATCTAAGAGGGCACTCCCAACGAAGCCTTTCAAATATTCAGCTTTCTTTCCCCCCGATTAATTATACCTCTTGTAAACAAGCTATACTAGAGCAAGAATATCTATTATCATCAGGGTTAAAAGCAAGAGTATCCCATATCATGCTTTTTCCCTGTCTTTTCTTTTGGCCTTGTTCTTACCTGCAAGACAAGGAGAAAGAGAGCAATCAGTCAGCACTTGGAATCAAGCTTCCAGCCAGGAACTGACTGCCTGGAACCCTTACCTGATTACTTACCTGGCATTGCTCTCGAGTACTCATCTTCAACACCTTATGCTTCCAGGGAAGATCCCGCATCTGCCTGAGGAACAGATAGGGCAAGTGAGAAGGATACAAGGAAGCATGTGGAGACAAGCGTAACAGCACACGTGCCGATACATCCATTACTCTGTCAAAAGCAAAAGTATCCCATATCAGCAGGGCTCGAACGTACTCTAGATTTTGATGGACTTGTTTTTGACCCTCAAATTCTTCAGTCGGCCTTATCTCTGGAGGAAACCAGAAAAACCCTCCAGCCCAGTTCAAGAATAAGCTGGTGTGGAAAGTTACTTCTTCAAAAGCAAAAGTATCCCATATCATTTCTTCTCATTTTTCTTCTCTTTATCCTTCATGCTGCCTGCAAGATAGGGAGAATGTGAACAATCAGCCGGAGCTCTGATTGCTTACCTTGTCTGTCACCTCTTTCAGCAGATCCCCTAGCTCGGCGACTTGGGGGACTCCTACTACATGGTTTGTATCGCGCTTGACCAAGCCTGAAACTACAAGTAAGCTTCAAGTGACATTGATACATTACCTTGTGCATCTCTATCAGTTACAGATACCACCCCTGGATGGATGAAGAGTACTTCCAGAGAAGATGCCACATCTACCTATGAGACAGATAAGGAAAGTCAAGACGATACCACACTCCAGTACTTAGAAGTTTCGTGGTTACGAGATCATTCTCCCACAATATTTCCTAATGTCATTTGTACTAAATCATTCACTTGTACTCACTAAAGGAGAGCTTGAACCTATGTACTTGTGTAAACCCTTCACAATTAATGAGAACTCCTCTATTCCGTGGACGTAGCCAATCTGGATGAACCACGTACATCTTGTGTTTGCTTTCCTATCTCTATCCATTTATATACTTATCCACACTAATGACCGGAGCAATCTAGCGAAGATCACAAAAAAAGTGACCGTTTTCGCTACCTAGGATCTATCTTGCAAGAGAACGGAGAATTAGATGGAGATCTCAACCATAGAATACAAGTTGGATGGATGAAGTGTAAGAGTGCATCTGGCGTGTTGTGTGACCGTCGTAGGCCACTGAAGCTCAAGGGAAAATTTTATAGGACGACAATAAGGCCAGCGATGTTGTATGGCACAGAATGTTGGGCGGTGAAGCATCAACACGTACACAAAATGGGTGTAGCGGAGATGAGGATGCTTCGTGGGATGTATGGGCAAACGAGAAAGGATAAGATTGGGAATGAGGATATCCGAGGTTTGGACATGTGCAAAGAAGGCCTACTGACGCTCCGGTTCGAAAATGTGACTACGGGACAGAGGTTCAGGGCCGAAGGGGTAGAGGAAGACCTAGGAAAACTTTGGAAGAGACCCTAAGAAAAGACTTGATTTTGGATCTAACGGAGAACATGACACAAAACCGAGCGCAATGGAGTTCTAGGATTCATATAGCCGACCCCACTTGGTGGGAAAAGGCTTTGTTGTTGTTGTTGTTGTTGTACTTGTTGCACTGTGCTATGGGTTTGGGTTTGGTTGGAAGTGTTGAGACAGTGGAAGAGGCACGGATTTCATTGAATAGAATGGTTAAAAAACTAAAAAATTCTTGACTATTGCTGGACAGTTATGACTATGGGACTGTTAGAATGCATGAGCTTGTACGAGATGTTGCTGTCCGGATCGCATCTGATGATCAAAAGGCCTTTTCAAGAGCATATGGAGACGAGGTTAAAGATTGGCCGACTGAGGATTTCCTTAAAAAATGCACAAGTATGTCCTTAAGTCGTTGCAAGATCCGCAGACTTCCTGAAGTACCTTGGGAATGCCCAGAATTAAAACTTTTGGTCTTGTGGAATGACAGTATTGGCGACTCCCAGGAAATCCCAAGCAATTTTTTTGAAGGATTGAAAGAACTCAAGGTGTTGGATGTAACCAAATTCCGTATTCCATCACTACCTCCATCTCTTCAATCCCTAAAGCATCTCCACACATTGTGTTTAGATCATTGCGAGTTGGAAGACATAGCTCTTGTTGGACAACTAACAAACTTGAAAATCCTTAGCCTCTTACAGTCCGAGGTTAAAGAATTGCCCAAAGAAATAAGGCAATTGACTAGCCTCCAATTATTGGATTTGACCTGTTGCTCTAAACTTGTTCTGATCGCACCTAATGTTATATCAAGCTTGAAAAGGCTAGAAGACTTGAGGATAGGAATAAAAAGCTTCAAGCAATGGGAGGGTGAAGGTTTGGTCGATGGTAGAAGTAATGCCAGCGTTTCAGAGCTGAAGCACTTATCTCATCTATCCGCATTGGACGTACACGTTCCAGATGCTAACCTTCTTCCAACCGACTTGTTCTCCGATAAGTTAGAAAGATACACCATACTTGTCGGTGATTGTTGGGAGTATCCTAACATCCTTGCAACCTCCTCTAACATGCTCAAGCTCAAGCTCACCAGGAGAAATCAGTTCGACGGAGGTATAAAGTTGCTGGTAAAGAAATGTGAGCAGTTGTACTTGGATGGGGTGGAGAGTGTGAATATTATTTCCTATCTATTTGACAGTGGAGCTGTTAATCAACTGAAGCATTTCCATGTCCAAAACAACGACGAAGTTAAATATGTCATTAACTCCGTCAATTGGAGTTACTCTCCTAATGCCTTCTCCAACCTGGAATCTCTAGCTCTTGAAGACCTTGTGAGTTTGGAAAGTGTATGTTATGGGCAACTCATAGGCGAGCCTTTCCGAAAGTTAAAATTTTTAACACTTCGGAATCTACCAAAGCTTATTGGTTTCTCTGATCAATTAACAATTGCTACAGAAGCCGACGAAATCGTTACGGAGGATGAAGCTGGTGGACAATCGAGACTTTTCAATAATGAAGAGGTACTTTCTCTGTAATTTTCCTAGCAAAATGATTGCATGATTCTTTCTCCAAATAGTTTTCTTCTTCGAATTTCGATCATATAATTCTTTCATGTTTTAGATTAGAAAAATGTTTAAATGGTATGTTAAATCAGGTTTCTTTCGTGTTTTAATTTTCAAATGTCTTCCTTAGACAAAACCATTTATTTTCCCATGTTGTATGTCATTTCATGTCCATTCACTCAACCAAACCTAATGGTGTTAACTCCAAATAAAATAAAATAAATAAAAAAATAAAAAATCAGAGCGTAGCCCAGCGCACTGTGTACCTCTCCCATTTCCCTTCCATCCCAATGCCACCAATCACCGCCCCCTCCCACCACCTCTTCCAAGCACAGCAGCAGCATCTCCCTTGATGACGTCATAGAGATCGCCAAGGTTATGAGGAACAGATCCATAGCCGAAGGAGCTCGCGGGAACGGTCATCGGCAAGGACCCCAAGGATTTGCAATAGGAGATCGTCGTGGTGACATCGACATCCCTCTCGATCGACAAGGGTGTAAATTCAACGAATTTTGCACCTAAAAGAAATTTCAGGGGAAACTCATATTCACAAATCTGACAGCCCAAAAGGGATTTATTCTTTGCAGGAGCAGTTAAATTGAGGGGTGAGTCTTTTGGGTTTGATTTATGGATTTAAAGTACGAAGGAGATGCAATTGATATTGCTGCTGTTGTGTTTGGGGAAGTGAGAGAGAGAGAGAGGAGGAATGGAGGATGAGCGGCTTCTTTTTTCTTACTTTTGTTCTTATTTTTATTTAATTTTCTTACTCTATGTTTGGATGAAGAAATTTAAGTTTACTAAGAAATTTTAAAATGACGGGATTTTATTTTCTAGAATTTGTAAATTTTCTTGTTTGGTTAACCTAAAAGAACAATGAAATTGAATACGGAATTTGTTATTTTTAAACACTCAATCATAAAAATTGAGAAATGACACATATTTACATAGAATTTAAACTTGGAAATTGGAGGTCCCAAATTCCAAGTTTTTTTCCACGCGAAAATTCTAAATTTCTATGTTTATGAATCCAAATAAGAGAATTGGTGCATGTCAATTTATAAATTTTGACTTTTATCCAAATTCTGAATTTATTTCCCTCATCCAAACATAGTGTTAGGAGCTGAGAGGGTTATGATAGGGTTACACTTGTTGGGGTGTCAAGTAATGAGACATACGATAGAAAGACCACACCTATTTTAGACGTAGAAAATTTGAACTCAATTCTTAACAATCAGAACAATCAATCACTTGTCATCACAATTTCATGGTATCAATTTAAGTAAAATAGTTTGAATTTGGAATTAAATTGCTAATTAATGAAAGAAGAAAGTAAGTGGCATTTTATCATAGTGGTAAAAATGAGTTGAACTCTTACATAACAATATGGGTTCAAACCTCTTCTGCGGCTAAAAAATTTTTTGACCAAAACAATATATCTTTTGACCAAATTATTTTTAATCAAATATATCTTTTGACCACACCTATCTAACAAAATATATCTTTTTGACCAATTTTTTTTTAATGAAAATAGAAAGGCTTACAGCTGTCTAGTAGCTTATATAATATATGACCTTTACTTTATATCTACACATTTGGAACATATACCGCTACAACAATGTAAACAGTAATTTTCTAAAATAAACAGGATTTTGTTCTATACTATGCAGGTTTCAATGCTAACAACCTTGACTGTGCATGGATGTGATAGTTTAAGATTCTTGTTTTGGAGTTCCATGGCTAAATGTCTCAAACAACTCAAACATCTCAAGATATCTAAATGTCAAGCACTACAAATGGTATATGACATATCGTCTACCACCCAGTTGAATGACTTTGAGTGCTCAAATCTAAGCTCAATTGAGATAGACTCATGTGATGGCTTGGAAAATGTCTTTCCCGCCTCAGTGGCCAAAGATCTTAAGCAACTAAGCAAGTTGAAGGTTAAGAATTGTGGTTTAATGGAGGTTGTTGTGAAGGAAGAAGGACCACAAACGACATACGAGTTCGGGTTCCCTAAAGTAACATCTATGGAATTTGATAATTTGCCCCAACTTCGGAGTTTCTATCCAGGATTGCATGTTTGTAATTGGCCATCACTCAACAAATTAAAGTTCACGAAATGTGGTGGTGTGGAGATTTTTGCTGCTGAATTTTCAACATATCAAGACAAGTTTGTGTTGGGCCACCCAAGACCAACAGAACAACCTTTCTTTTTAATTGAGAAGGTAACCATACTTGTACACAACTCTTGATATTCGAAATTTTATGTGATTTTTACATACTAGTTAAACATACACCATCAAGTAAATACATTTATTATGTTTTTAATATTAAAGTTATTATGTGATATCCAGTTTTTCAAAATATTTTAAAGCATGCCTTTACCATTTATTATATTTCAGGATAAGTCATTCCTCAACTTGGAATACTTGGTTTTGGACGAGAAGACGGAGATTTTGAATGGTCCACTCCTGTCAGAGTTGTTGAGAAAACTAAGATTTATTGGTTTTGCTACTTCACATCCCAAATCAGATTATTTCTTTGAGAATTTACAGAATATTGAACAGCTCCGTGTGCTCTCTGCTCCTTGGAAAGAATTAATTGTCCACGACTACCAAGGAAGTAGTAGCGGGGAAATACATGAAGTTAAGACCCTCCCACGTGTAAAGGTTTTGGGGCTCGGCAATATGCCGGAGCTGATACATCTAGGAAGGGAGAACTCCCAACCAGGGGGCCCTGTTTTTCCGAACTTGGAATTTCTACGCCTAGAAAAATGTAGCAGATTAGATAATCTAGCTTCAACTTTGATATCCTTTTGGAATCTAACCACTTTGACCATATTGGATTGTCACAGACTGCAATACTTAATACCTCATTCTGTGGCTAAGAATTTGCAGCAACTCAAGAAGTTGGTAGTTAAGTCCTGCGAAAGAATGGTAGAAATAGTGGCAAGCAACGAAGATGATTCAGAAAATGAGATTACTTTCAGTTGCTTGGAACATTTGGAACTTTCTGGTCTACCAAGTCTGCAAGGATTTTGCAAGGGAAATTGCATTTTCAAAGTCCCATCCTTACCCAATTTGATTGTCGAGGACTGCCAGCTGAAGATTTCTCCTGATGGGTTACTCCAAAGTGATCCAAGACCAAAAAGACTACAAATAGCAGAGGAAACTGATGATGTATCGATGCTAAGTGATTCAGAGGAGAGTGATCCTGATCAAATTGTAAGTACTTCATTCACTAATGAAGCATCTATTAATTTCACTCTCCAATTTTCCAGCTTTTTCTGAACCTTGAACCGTTAAAATTAAAAGTCTGATTTATTCATCTTATTCATAGTTCTTCAGTCAGATTTCTTATTGAACAGTTTGTGTGTTTATTTGTAATCGTCAACTAAATATATATTTTTACAGGACCAGAAGATACAAATTTAGATGTTACAATTGCAACACTCTCTACCAAAGAGGAATCCTCATTTTTTGGCTGGCCTGTTAAGTTTTTCCGGCTGTGTGTGATTGCTTGTTTGTGTATTATATTCTTCTTCCTTTTAAAGGAAGAAATATCATCCTGGTGAGCAGACTAGAAGGCTCTCTGATCTATTGGACCACACAACACATTCCCCAGAAATCACATTGGTATGTCCAAATTTTTTGGATGGAGACAACTATGCTACTTGATGTCGTGCTATGACTATTAGTCATAGTTCCAAGAACAAGATGGGCACCACTCTTATTGTCAGCGACCGCCATATCGGATTTAAGTTGGCAAGCTTCCGCCTCAAGGAAGAAGCCTTGGTTATGTGATTTCTGTCGGCTAGAGGCCAATTCTAGCCTTGGTTATATGATTGCTTGGACCTTTTTTGCTTTGGCGTTACTGTGGTGGTTTAATGAAGGGCATTGGAGATCATGAAGATGCAGGCTATATGGCTTTAGCGTTATTGTGGTTGCTAGTTGGGTTGCTACTTTCAGTATACTTCTTTCTAGCTAGTTTCTCTTGTTACTTGCTGTGACTATTCTCTATTCACCCCTCAACGGTCTGTGCCCAGCTTCGTATCCGAGGCCGATCTCATCTTGTTTGGTATAAGCCTGCAAGCTACGGCATCAACGGAAAAGCTATCCCAGAAACTTGTGTGATTTGGGTAGGCACTGATACATATTCCAAGTCATGTTATGCTTGTGTTGACTTGTTAGTGTTTCGTGGTAGAAGTGTGATTTGTATTTGGAGCTTTGTTCACTTCATTTTCGGTATTGGTGTTTGGGAAATAATGCTAGTGTGATTTCTGTAAACATTTATGCATTTGAAGTGGTGCTTGTATGCACTTGTCTACTAAAACTGCTTTGTACTGGAGAGTGCTTCTTATTCTTTACTAAAATCGAATCAATCGAATCGCATCTTTTAACTGGATGTGTGTACGTTTGTATATTTTTCTTTTTCGTTTGGAAACAAAGCTAGATTTCATTGGTTGGAGTACAATTTTTTCCGAGAGCTCCTAAAATGATTTTTTTTTTGTAGTTTTAGCTACAACTTTGAGCATGGGACAAATCAGTGTTTGTTGTGGTTGTGCTGATTAATTCAAGTTTCCGTGATCCCACAGTACCACAAATTCTAAAAATACACACCACTCATGTTTCAATTTTGATAGCCACTTTCTTGCCTGCTCATATCAAATCCTCGTCATCCATATCTTAATCAATTTGTCTGACAGTACGATCTCCATTACCTCCCTCAAAAAAAAAAATCTGTTTCGATAAAGAACCAAAATTCACAGGTGCAACTTCTCCTTGTCAAAAATTTTGAGAGCTAGAAGAAAAAGATTCTTATGCAAGTCATCTCACATTGGACTTGGGGTACAGAAATTAATGAGGTGGATATTGAGCATAAAAAAACAATAATATCATTGAGCAGACAAGAACACTTGTTACTGTAGTTGATGTTTTGGGAAGAAATGATTTGGACCTTGTGGGACTTCTCTGGGCACCGATGCGAAGTAGCAACCCAACTAGCAGAACAATCGTGGAATTTGTTTGAGAAGATGGCCGGTGATGTTGTTAAAGATGACGTATACTGAAAGTAGCAACCCAACTAGCAGAACAATGTGGGGGTTTACCGGTTTTAGTTGTTGCACTTGCAAGCACTTTAAGAGGGAGTGCTTCAAAAGTTGACAAAAAAGGATTAAAAGAGACGGCATACTTGGGTCTAGAGTGGAGTTACAAACTTACAATCAATTGGATGATGAGAAGCTTTTTCATGCTCTGCGGAATGGTGGCACAAAGTGACTCTAATTTTTTTGTCCGACTTGTTCAAATATATTATAGGTTTAGTGTCGGTTAAAATTTTTGATACTGTGGAAGAGGCACGAAATGCATTTCATTTGTTGATTCAAAGACGGTTATGATGATCAGTGCTAGAATGCACGAGCTTGTACGAGATGTTGCTGTCCGGATTGTTAACATATGCGGAGTTGTAAGAATGGCCAGCCATGGATTTGTTTAAAGAGTCCTCTATGATATTGGTCTCTCTTCGTTACTGTACTGTCCATACCCACGCTTCTCCAAGTACCTTGGGAATGCTCAGAACTGAAAATATTTTATTTAGGAATAGTGATGGCTTGCTAGAAATGACACACCCTGACCATGATCAGGGCGTACTGGCCGTCACGTGAGGGTGACGTAGCCATATGCACAGTGCGGAAGCAATCGAGATAAGAGATAATAAATATATGAATAAACAAAACCAAAAGCTACTAAGGTGCACTAATAAACAGAAGTGTTAGGAGTAAGATACAAGTGTAAATACTCCTAATCAGAGCATAGAAAGTCTAGATGCAGTCCAGTAGGACAAGTACTAATTATACAGTACCAAAAGATGTCCTAGTAATTATATAATTTGTTAGAACCGCCGAGATCCTCAAATTGCCACCAACAACAAGTCTACCTAAAACCTAGAAGGGCGCAGAACAGAAAACGTGAGTGGGCAAAAACAAAGGTTTTGAAAACACACTTAACTTTCAAATGTTCTAACCCCTCGTTGTAAAACATGTATAATTTTCCCAAAGATAGAATATAAACATATGCATAACTATATAAATATCTCAATTCAAATCATGCTTCACATAACTATATTCATAAGTATGCCATGCCAAAACATGAAAATAGGATAAATGACTCAGGTGAGAATAAATTCATGGAAATAGCATATTAGCCGGAACCTCTGTATAAGTCTGTACGGCTGATTTCATAGCTCATTAGTCAATCTAGCCGGAGTCACTACAATGACCTATACGGCACTACACTGCACATAAGTCAGAACCACTAAAAGGGTCTGTACGACAAGACTGGGTGTAATATAATTATGCTCAACGCTACTTTCTCATGATAGATGTGCGATAAATCGCTAGTCATCTACGAGTCGGAACACCTATGATGGTCTGTACGACAAGACTGTGCACCTAAATTGGATCCAATATGAGCATATGGTGCGGGAGGTGACATTATAAACATACCTGTATTCTATCTCCAGTAATTCACAATCACCCAGGGTGAAGGTTTATGAGCTCTAAGCTTCTCAATTAATCATAAACGTTAATCACATTCACAATTCATAAACTCACCTGGCTTACTTGAGTGTCCACAGCACCACAATTATATATATGCATCATGTACTATTTCATATACTGAATATCAATTTATATGCATGGCAATTCAAGGCATACTTTCATTTAAACATATTTTCTGGGAAAATATCAAGTATATAAATAAATACTGAAAACCAAAAGCCCACTCACTGGTATGTCGAAGGGTCGTAGCCCTCGAGTCGCCCTTGACTGCGCTCGTCCTCGGGATAAGTCTCCCCTATATGCGAAACAACTATAGAAACGTTAATTTAAAGCACATAACCAATACTAGCTAATAACTTCTCATACATTGCTCAAATGAGATGTTTGAATATACCAACGTGATCTACACAACTTCACGAACATCCCCATATTTTTAGAAAAATTTTCCGACCACCCACGCCCCGGCCAAGGCACGGCCAGACGGGCCGCCCACGCGCAGGCACGTGCCTGGCACACTGACGGTAATCCTAACGACGTTAGGGAATATTCCGTTAAAAAGTAGCATATACCGTTAAAACTAACCTGACGCCGTTGGAATATTCTGTCAAACTTGACGAAATATTCCGTCGTCTCCTTCCTTGGTTCGCCGGACCGTCGCCATCGCCGAAAAAAACTGGAAAACTTTAAACCTTTATAACTTAGTCGTTTTTCATCCAAATTTCATGAAATCAATACCAAATTGAAGCTCTTAAATTGTAGAACATTTCCTTACCTGTTTAAAGCCCAAATATCACGGGATCTCGCCGGAGAAATTCGAGAAAAACCGACCAAACTTGAAACTCACAATCCCGACATCCAAAACTACCCAACAAGCTACCCCGAGCTTCGTGAGGACCTTCTAAAGCTCCTTATGAGCTTAAAATCCTCTAAAAACTCTTCGTTTGAACATGCATGAACAGTGTCAATTTCGGGGTAGGGTTTTCATAGGTTTTCCGAAGCTTCCAAGTCCTAAAAAGGTATGATTGAGTTCGTGATGATGAGATGAAAGTGAAAGTACTAATCATGAGCTCGATCTGTGCAGAAATGGGTTGGTTTGAGGTTCGTCCGTACGTTTGTACGGATTTTCTGTAGAAATCCGAGAGGGAAGGGAGAGAGAGAGTCAACGGGAGAGAGAGAAAAGTATGGGTGCTTGTGTGTGGTCCTAGTTGGTCACAACCAACAAAAATAAGTCCTAAGTGTTCCAAAAACTTAGGAAAATCTTTGAATTGGTCTAAATAAAATTCACCCACATGACCACACGAAACGTCCAAGGGTAAATAAGTAATTTCACGTTGTCGAAAATAAATATTTCGGGACGGGCTGCGACAAGAAATCCTTTGCAAATTTTTTTTGAAGAGATGAAAGAGCTCAAAGTGTTGGATTTAACTGTGCTTCATTTTCCATCATGACCTCCTTATCTTAAATACCTAACATTCCTCAAACATTGTGCTTAGATCAGTGCGTGTTGGGAGATATAGCTCCAGTTGGAGAGCTAATAAACTCGGAAAGTTCTTAGCCATGCACACTCCCAGGTTGGAGAGTTGCCCAATGAAATAGGGGAACTGACTCGTCTACGCTTGTTAGATTTGAGTGGTTGCTCGGAACTTGTACTGATTTCACCTAACGTTTCATCAAGGTTGAAAAGACTAGCAGACTTGAGAATGGGAATAAACAGCTTTGAGCAATGGGAGAGTGAATGTCTGACCGATGGAAGACATAATGTTAGTGTTTCAGAGCTGAAGCTGTTAAAATGCATGAAATAAACATGTTGGAACAATGGTATTGGATGACTAGTGAAGTTAGGCTAGTCAACTTTCTTTGTGTAAGTTAGGCAAGTTAGGCAAGTTAGGCAAGTGTTAGGCAAGTTAGGCAAGTTAGGTTTATGTCATCTTTCTTTCCCTATAAATAAGTTTCATCTTGTAATTGTTAGAAGGTATCAAATACACATAGAAATTCAATATGGTATCAGAGCTGTGATCTGGGAAAACCACAAAACACAAGCTCTAAGGCAGTCACGAGGTCAACCATTCCAGGCATGGCTTCTCATTCAAAATGGGAAAATCCCAACCACCCACTCTATCTCCACCACTCGGACCAACCTGGTGCAATCCTCGTACCACAATCATTGGTGGAAGACAACTACAGCACATGGGTTCAATCCATGAGTATGGCCTTAACGGTCAAGAACAAACTTGGTTTTGTTGATGG